TGAATATCGAGCAATGGCTCATGGAGTGGCTGAAATTATGTGGATAAATAATCTGTTGAGTGAGTTGGGTTTTCCAGTGGACAGACCTATAACCCTATTCTGTGATAACAAAGCAGCCATAAACATTGCTGCTAACCCTAGAACTAAACACAAGTCGACAAGCATTTTATCAGAGAAAAAGTTATCACAGGGGAAGTGTGTACTCCCTATGTCAGCTCTGAGGATCAACTTGCAGACATCTTTACAAAAGGACTACACCATTCAAGACATCACAATTTATGTGACAAGTTGGGCATGATTGACATCTATGTCCCAACTTGAGGGGGAGTGTTAACAGCTATTATTTTTTCCTATGTATAGTACCGTAGGGGTACTATTGTACTTTTGCTCCTTTTTTATTTTAGTTGTTGTCGCCCTAGTATATATATTAAAAAGCTGCGCCGCCAGTAGTAATCTTTTTGCTCTCAGTTCTCTCTTCTTTCATTCTTCTCTCCTGCATAACAACTAACAAACCTGCTTGTGTACTTTTGGTCTACCTTCAAGATGCCTGTTAAGATTGCGGACCAGATTGAAAAAATAATGAGAGATTTTCTTTGGGAACCTGGTGATTCTAAAAAGGATCATAGGGTAAAGTGGGAAGTGGTGTCTAGAAAGAAAGACAGAGGGATTGGGGATTGGCAATATAGATTAAGAAGCACAACATTGCTAGGCAAATGGTTGTGGAGATTTCCCAAGGGCTTCTCGCTCTTCCCCATGGAAAGACATTGTTGGTGTACTGCCTGTTTTCTCACCTTTCATAAGGTATGATGCTTGCCTAAGTAATAAGGTACTTGTTTGGGAAGACACTTGGACCGGGGACTCTCCCATCAAGGATGGTTTACCAATCATCTATTCCCTTCTTTGAAAAAGTTTCAAGTTATTTCTTCCTTTCGTTTCTCTGAGGACTTTTGGGATTTGGGACTAAGGGGAGGTTTGAGGGACTCAGAAGTGGTATTGGCAGATGATCTTTTTTATCTACTCCGTTCAGTTTTCCTGGGCCCTTCTTGTCCTGATAGTAGAATTTGGACTGAAAACCTCTTCAGGCTGTTTCTCTTGCTCTTCCTTTTTCAACACTCTGGTGCCCCCTATAAACCTATCTACTTCCTGCAAGTTCTCTACTGTTAATGGCGATTCCAGCAAAGTAGTAGTGGTGACAATTGACCGTGCTTCCAGCGACAATTCCTGGTGGTTGGTGATCAGAGATAGGTGACGACAAAGCAAGTTGAACAGCGGCAGGTAGGGCCGTGGCTTGAAGACGACAGTCAAAGGAAGAGTCTTCAGTCGAGGGGTTTTATCTAAGGGTGGTCACATGTGACCACCGTTCACACGAAAATGGAAGCACAATTTTGCCAAAAGCATTAAGTAATAAAAGCTAACTTCGTGCTTTTAAAAAGTATGAAAGCATAAGTACAAAGTATGCAATCTAAATGATATGTAGTGCTTTTTGTACTTTCGTATTTTCAAAAGTACTTTGTAAAAGTCTATCCAAACAGGGCGTTAGGCTTTCTCTATTTATTGATATATGCTGTGCTTGTGTCTAATTTGTTTAGTGAATTAAACTTGTAGGTTATGCTCCTACCAAGAATGACTTCTTATTTGAAAAGGTATTTGGTTACCTTAGGTTGGTTTGTTTTGCTTTCTATATTCAGTGTTTTGGATCCTCTTAAACCCTATTTTCATTTATCAAAAATAAATCTTTGATTTCTACTTTCAAGTACTATGTAGATTCTTAGTCATAAATGGAAAATTGAAATTCTGATTGGATGATCCCTGGGTTCATTGTTCAGCGTCTTCAAAACTTCATTTTTGGTAAGCAGGGATCACATATCTTACAGTAATGTAGATCCAATCTCCCCTCTTTTACCTCTTTTTACACTCTCTTACTTTCATCTTAAAATGTTTGGAAATAATCTGATGCTGAGATTTGGTTTGAAGACATTCTTATGCAACACTCAAGAGGAAAATCTGCCTTGATTTTCTGCTCCACCAGAAAAGGAGCACAAGAAGCTGCACTCCGTCTCTCTCAGATGGCAATGGACTTAGGCCATTCAAATCCATTCATAAAATACAAAGAACAACAGGAGAGGCTAAGAGAAGCTTCTCTAGCATGCAGTGACAAGCAACTTCAATCATGTATTCTTTATGGTGGTATGTTCTTGGCTTACTATTCGATATTGTCCTTTCTCTTTTCAATCATGTTTTCTTTTATCTAATTTTCTTTGTCATCTTAGGCTAGCTGCTTGATGCTGGAGTATCTACTGATAACACTTGGAAATGGGCTTTATAATATTTTATCTTGTTGTTCTTCTTATTAGCTAGTTGTTGTTGCAGTTGGGTATCACAATGGTGGACTTTGCTTAAAAGATCGTAACCTAATTGAAGGTCTTTTTCTTAATGGTGATCTTCAAATTCTGTGCACTACAAATACTCTAGCACATGGGATAAACTTACCAGCACATACAGTAGTCATTAAATCAACACAATACTAGTAAGTCAAAGTGTTGAACTCTATTCATATTTGGAGTTTAATTCTTCTGAATTATAATGATCAAAGAGTACCATAAGTGACATCATGTTTAGACACTAAAAAAATTTTTCCCTTGTTCAGCAACAAGGAGAAAGGCCTTTATGTGGAATATGATAGGTCCATGATACTACAGGTATGCCATATCACAGTGTTCGGGTTCAGTTAAAATAGATTTCTTTCCTTGCATTAGGAATATAGTGGAACTCGTTGCATATCCATTCCTAAAATTTGGAAATAAGATAAAATTATTTGGTCCAATGTATTCATSTAAGTCKAACTTTTTATCTCTCTCCTCCATGACATTTCTCTTTGACTAAGCAACTCATAGCTATGGTTAATTCCTTTTTGTAATATATCCTGCATCTCATATATTTAGTTTTTCCATATAGTCTGTGCTTTGTTATTTACATGAACATATAAATGGCATATAGATGCAAGTGGAGTCCAGCACTGTCAGAATGGAATTTCTTGCATATAATTTTATTTTGAGAAATGGTAAAATTTGAATTAATGGAGGAAATGCATTCCTCAGAACATCACAGAAAGGCCACAGAGGTGCCAGATGGAACAGCCCATCAATAACAAAGTATTGAAAGAATTGTTCCATAGGATTTGAAAAATACATGGAACATGTATAAGAGCCTTTAATAACTAATACACAAAATCTATACATGCATTCCTTGGTATTCTTGCACAATTAATCCTTCTTTTAAAGGTGAATCAACTATTTGGAACCTGCAGATGTGTGGAAGGGCAGGTCGCCCACCATTTGAGGATACTGGCATGGTTATAATCATGACAAGGAGAGAAACAGTAATTTGTTCACTCTATTCTTTGTAGTTAAGACATTTTCTTCAAAATTGGTCTTATGTTTCTTAAAGTAATCCTTGTTTCTATATACAACCCCTTTGCTTCACTCCATGAATCCTTATTTTTAATTTCAGGTTTATTTGTATGAGAATCTCTTGAATGGGTGTGAAATGGTAGAATCTCGGTATGCCCTTGGCTTTATTTTCCTGGATATGTTTGGTGGCTGGGGCTTTGTGTCATGTTAATATCATTGATGTAATGTTATTGTGTTCAAAATAGATTGCTATCATGTATCACGGAGCATCTAATTGCAGAAATAGTTCAGCTAACTATCTCTGACATAACTCGGGCCATTGAGTGGATGAAGTATTCCTATTTGTATGTGAGAATGAAAAAGGCATGTGTTCATTGGAATCATTTTAAAGATTTCACATGGGTATTCTTTCCCTGTCCAAGCATGTATCTTATACTCTGCTGTATATTAGAACCCTGAGAATTATGCTGTTAAGAAAGGGATTCCCAGTGAACGTCTAGAGAAGCACATGCATGGTAATCTTATATACTCTCTTAAAAGTTCTTGGCTTCTTTTTTTTTTTTGTATTTTGCCAAATTGATTAATTTCACACAAATTTATAGAGATATGTGTGAAGAATATTAATGAGCTGTCAAGACATGGAATGATTTGGACAGATGAATATGGTTTTCTCTTGAAGCCACTAGGTATCTTGAGCTTATAATAGTACGGTCATTATTTTCATGATTTACAATAATGCCATTAATTTTTTATCTGAGCTTTTTGCCATTCTTTGTTTTCACTATTTCAGAACCTGGAAAGCTGATGACAAAATACTATCTGAAATTTGACACAATGAAACACATTATAGAAGCTCCTGAAAGCTGCAGTATGGAAGATGCACTTCACATTATTTGCCGGTCTGAGGAGATAGCTTGTATGTATATCCATCCACTAATGACAGATCCTGGTATTTTACAATTTAGCTAGACATGTAATGTATGTACCCATACACTGCGACATGAAGGGATACAACTCAGACGCAATGAAAAAAAGCTTCTGAATGACATAAACACTGATAAAGATGGTCGTCTTCGTTTTCATATTGTTGGTGAAAATGGCAAAAAGAAAAAGCGTATCCAAAGCAGAGAAGAGAAGATATTTGTGTTAGCAAATGACTGCTTGACTGGTGATCCTTCAGTGCATGATATATCCCTCAACCAGGTCTATCTCCTTCTAGTGGATGATACCATGTGGCTTCATAATTTTATCATCCAAGCTTGAGACCAATGTCAGAACTCATCTATATTGTACAGGACATGAACTCCATATGCTCAAATGGGTGCAGAATTGCGAAGTGTATGAAAGAGTATTTCATTTACAGGAAGAACTACAAAGGAACAATCAACTCTACTCTTCTAGCCAAATGTCTACACCAGAGACTCTGGGATGACAGTCCTTACCTGCTGAAACAATTACCGGGCATTGGAATGGTGACTGCTAAGGTTCTTGTTCCATTTCATTCCTTATCATACTTTGTTTATATTTCTGAAAAAAAAGGCCAATACCCAATGTTGACCCAGCTATCTGGGTCTTGAGAGGGTGGGCTGGATATGGACCTAACGTTTGAGTCTTTAGATTTCTGAATATATTCCTTTAAATACATGATGCCTTAAATCCTAGATTTAGAACAAAAATGATTTTATTTGTCATCAAATCTACTAGGCATTACATTCAATTGGAATTATTTCATTTGAGACGATGGCAGAGGCTGATCCAAGGAGAATAGAGATTGCCACCGGTCGGAAGTACCCCTTTGGTAACCATATAAAGGAATCTCTCTTGACACTTCCACCAAAAGTTGAGATGAAGGTTGAGAAAATTGAATGTCGAAGGCAAGGAAAGTCAAAGTTAGCAATAACATTGACTAGGTTATCACAAGCCACTGCATCAACTAAGCGGCATTATGCTGATATGGTATACAATCAAGAAATCTCTTGCCATTTTCTTTCTGTGGCCCAGTTACAATTGGGTTACTCTAGATAGTTTCCCCATTTTGCATTTGAACACAGTTCTTTTAACACATACAAGTGATTATGATTGCATGCAGGTTGTTGGTTCAGAGGCAGACAACCACATCCTCTTTCATGAGAAAATAAGGTGATATCGACTTTTTTTATAGAGAATAAAGGGGATACTGGTAATAATATTGCAAATATAACCAAAGGCGTCACCACATGTCTTGTATCCTCATTGTCCCACTTTGTTAATCCATGCAATTTCCTAGTTCAGATCTCAACCCGGTAGAATTATTTGGATGATCTGGTTAACTGCATCATTTCGGACATGGGGCAATTTTCCATAAAATCCCATGTATTGAAGACAGGGTTGCCTTTTGTGCTAGGTGATCTTCCTGTGGTGGGGGTGGGGGCTATAAATCTGACTCTCTAAAATTTATTATACAAAATCTTGCATATGGTAGATTTCCTATAGTTTATACTTATAATACTATTTACTAAGCCATTATTTATTGTACTGGTATTTTTATGCCTCCATTTTGTTTGGCTGCAACAGAGTGGATGAATTTTCCAGGTAAGGAAACCAGTATCCTTGTTGATCTATCTGATTTGCATTTCTATATTTTCTAAACAATAAATATGATATGCTTGCTTCTTGGACATTGGATGCTTTTGTATGGTGTTAGGTTTATTGTCCCATCTCCAAGCTGTTAAACATAGGTATTTTGATATGATAATGTAGTATTTTGGTTTGATGTAGCCACCTGGGCATTGACAGGATGTACTGAGCACTAGGGCCTAAGAAATCCCAAGACTTTGGAGCATCCATATTTTTATGAAATAACATAGCACCATGTCTTTCTTTCTTTCTTCTTCCCTATTGCAGCAACCTGTCCTGTTATTCTTCAGTTTTTTTTTTTTAAATAATTAAAAGCAAACTTACCAAGATACTAAATGTAGCCACTTGAATTGCATTGCTGAGACTTACAAAGTACCACATGGTTGCCCAAGCCCAAAGGCAATTAATGTGTCTTGGAATCTTGAGGAAAAGAGTATAAGAAAGTAGGGCTGCAAACAGATCAGATAATCAGATTGAATCAGATATACCTAAATCCAAATTTGATTCATTAATGTTTGGATTACTTGGAAATAGGAATTCTGGATTATTCTAGTAGATTTAGTGTGACACTGTGATTAAAGAAGTAGGAGAGCAAGAAAGAATGTAGAAAAGAGTGGAAATGAAGAGAAGAGAAGCGAAGAGAAGATAAAAGAAAGATTGAAGGGAGACAAAAATTCTTAGGCATGTATATACATTGAATCAAATCATATCAGCTCATCCTTAACCAGATTGAATTTGATTGGAAATTGGACCAACAGATACCTTTTGCAACCCTATTTGAAGGAAGTTGTTCCAGGGAGCCCCTGTAGCACCATAATTTGGCCTTTTCTTTCTCTATCCACCAGAGACAACTCGTTCCAACTCCTGCTTATTTCTTATTTATTTTTGGGGATTGGTTTAGGCACATCCAATTATTGATAAACCAGGCAGATCACTTGTAGAAAGACTATGAAACTTTTCTATGTAAAATGTCAATACATAAAGATGTTTTTGGTCTTTTAAAATGTGTTTTTGAATAGAATTTTTGTTTTGAATAATGCTCAGGGATGTGCCCCTTTCATTACAAAACAAGATATGGCCAAATCACTCTCCCTATTTTCAATTTGTTAAATTGTATTTCTAATTTTGACAAGTCTATTTCAGCCCCTACAATTTGACGGTTCTTGTGCCAAATCCTAGAGAAGGGAAGCTGACTATACAAGCTGACCTAATCTTTGAAGAATACAGTAAGTAGTTATTTTATGTCAGCTGATATGAAGTGGAGTTAATTATCAGATTCATGCAATTTATTCTAAGGTGATGTTCATGCAGTTGGTCTAGATGTCCATAAAAAACTTGTAATAACAAGGGAAAGCATTTCAAACCTGAGCTGTATGAACAGTAATAAGCAATACACCACCTTTACTCTGCCGAAAGAAATCTACATGGTTGAAGATGACGATGACAACACCACCTCTCAAGCTACAACTGGAGAGAAGAAAATTCCTAGTAAATCCAAATGGGAAACATCTTCCATGTGAGCAGCCATTTTTTTCTTAGTAGTTAAATTGGTTTGAATTTTCTTTTATAGTCCATGCCCATGACACAATTAGGTCTGAAAACTATTCATGCATTTGCTTACAGGCCGAGCTTCAACCTCCTAGATGAGATGGACGAAGGTACTTCCTCTGATACAATTCCAACACATCTTTACCTGCATCCGAACTCTTTTCGTTATGGTTTTTTAGCCTGCATTTTAACTGTTCTTATTATGGTTTTTCTAAATTCTTACTTTAGGCACCTCCATTATTGAACCTGAAGAAAACGAGTGTGAAATTCTTACTGAAAAAACTATATTTGACCACATACGTAGAAAAGCTAAGAACTTTCCCATGTTGGCTGCATCAAAAACCATGTCTTTAACATCAGAAACCTCGGTCCCTACACGAAAACGAGCATACGACAGTGGATTTCAGAATGCAACTTCTGTTTTGGGAGAGAAAGATACCAATAAAATTCCGAGACAGACTGTGGTCCTTTCAGAACTGCAGCCCAGAAACGTGGAAGAGAAAAATTATGTCATAGATATAGATGAACATGGTTTCATCTCCGGAGGCTTGAGAAGCTTCAATGTCCTAAAGGAGCACACTCTTACAGGTACTGACCAGAACAATTTCTATTCATCGCTATCTTTTATCTTCAATGTAAATTTTACCGTTCACCTTTTATGTCGATATCTTTTCAAGGTGTTCATGCTCCTGAAATTGAAGAAAACAGACCAAGAACTGCAAATGAAGGAACAATATCTGCTGATCAGAAAGTCAATAATTTTCTGACGTTTGACACACCCAAAACCACAGATTTTGAGGCTTTGATCATTACAGAAAAACAATTTTGTGAAGAACAGCCTGAACTTCACAATGCTACCGACAGGTTGGAAAAAGCAGCTCCAAGTAACGTCCTGATGGGCACTTGGAGAACTCCAGATTCAGAACCCAGAGTGATGGAAGAATCCATTAATGGAACCAAGGGAGCTGCAAAATTCAAGCAGTTTATAGTTTCCAGAAGTCCCAGCAGCAGTAGGAGGAAATTGGATCCCCCTGCAGGAGTTTCGAGAACCAATACTAAGACGGTGTGTTCTGTTATGTTCCCGGAAAAGGACATTGGGTTGCTGGTGCAGGGAAAAGCTACCTCACCGCTAGAACTTCCTGGAGAAAATAGATGCAAGCAGCAACAGTTTTCAGATGGAGCAAACAAGAAATGTTCATCGGAAACAGTACGTGGAAACAAGGAATTAGCGTCACCCCTTGGCTTTCAGAGTGTCTTTTCATTTCTTTGATTTTGTTTTACTCGAGGGATGCTAGAAAAACCGTTTACTATTTCATCAGGAATGGGATAGTGGATTTTCGTGTCTCTTGATTCCTAACCTACAAAAGGCTTGGAAGTCCAGGACATGCTTAAAACTTGTTTACAACTGTATATGGTGGAATACCTGTCACACTGATTTTTTTGAATTCTTTGGTATGGCGTATCATGTCACCAACAAATGAATTGGATATCCATTTGATGAATATCAAATTAAGCTTTGGTTTTAACTCTTAAACCAACCGAAATGAATTTAGTTAATACTAAGCTTTGGTTTTAAACCAATTACCAAAAATAAACTTGGGTTTTAAACAGATCCATCAGATATCAGATCGAATCAAATTTGTCGACTTGAATTCGGATAAGCCCAAATCCAAATTCGATTCAATCCACTGTTTGTACTATTTAGGCGCGATGTTAGAAGGTTCAAAGCATCGATGTTAGAAGATTCAATCCACTGTTTTTTATTTTATACACTAATTTATACTTAAACCTATCCCTCAGCCCTATTTTTGAAAAAAAAAAAGAAAAATGTATGGTACAAAGTACTGAATAGTGAATACTAATACGAGCAAGGTTTAACTGAACAAAATGACTGTTCAGGGGATGTGGAACCAATTATAATATGAGACCCACACCTTTTAGCCATGAATTTATTACTGATATGAAACTTATCATTAGTTTCATAGTTTCGCTGAACAGCCATCGATTTCAGCTAATCGGAATTCTACCAATACCCCTTCTGCTGTATTGGGTGTATGAGTGCATTCACACTTTTTCTTTTTATTAAAGTTTTAAGTTTTCCAACTTACAATAACCAAGTCAAGTACATTTATCAACTGTATCATTACTCTGACTAGACTATCATGTCTAGAATTTTTTTTAGGCTAATCAAAAATTTTCCACCTTCAGTCTATGGATCATGGTGTCTTCCTCTTCTCCAATAAATTTCCTGCACAAGACATTTGAGTTGGATCAGAAAGGTGTCGAGGGCCTCAAAACATTCGTGATGCTATGAGAAATTTGTCTGTATTCGTGATGCTATGATAGATAAAAATGCCCTTTATCTATCATCTAATTTTTGTATGATAGGAAAAATTTCACTTTAATACTCTAAACTTTGGAGTAGTGTCAAATTTGTACCGGAACTTTCAAACGTGTTATTATAATATCCAAACTTTCAAAAAGTATCAAATTGATCCAAAACTATTAAGTATCATATTAAAATGACAAAAATGTCCTTTACATATCATCTAATTTTGGTATGATTGATAGTAACCACCTCAAATATCAAGTAGGTTATGGATTCAGGGCCCATACTCAATCAAGCAATAAAAAGGGAATAAAATAAAAAAAGAAACAGAAGCAAGGGATAGAAATTTCTTAAGACCTTTTGCATTGGTATACTTACAGCACAACTCGAATCTACTAGGAGCTGAATCAACAATACTCAGAAGAACGACAGACTTTTTCACTGAAATGGGATTCAGTCAGTGGCTTTAGTCAGGGCAAATCCATGCCCACACCATTTTAACAGCCTTTTCCAACCTTCTATTGGAAATATTTCCCCATGAAATAAAGCATACAAGTATGAAATATTCTCAATACAGATAGTAAAGGGTGCCTGAACAGAGTTTGCCCCGACTGAAACCGAACTCGTTAGATAGGCTACTGAAACCCAGGGAAAGGGAAAGGCAAAGATAGGGGGAGCGAGGGGACAAAAGATTCAAGAATGCCTGAGCTTGACCTTGTGCTTGAACTTGAGGTTGGGGTGCAGCACGAGGTTAGATTGGGCTGTCTTGGACCCAAATCAATGATAGGAACTTGATTCCATTTTATTACTCTTATCATGCAATGCTTTTTGTCTAGACCTTAGATCTTTTAGCCATGGAGAAGGAGAGATTGGATGAGTTTTCTCCTCGGGAAGTTCTGGAGAACTGCCTCCGAAGCTTAGAATCTGGAACAAGTTAATCCAAAGCCAGTACATTGCATTCTGATTCTCGAACCAATCGTAGAGTAGTCTCCCATTGACAGGAATTCATTCAGCTGATAAAAACTCGAACAATAAAGCGATTATACACCTTCCTTCCTTTCAGAGTTCCAAAGCTTTCAAAAAGGAAGAGCAGAAACAGACTCTCTGAATCGAGTCTTGCTTTTAGAGGCGGAGCTCTTAAATCCACCCTACTACTGCTCTTGTTTTTTGGCTTTACCGTGCCAATGTTGGGTGAATTTGGGTTTCTCCAGCACATTGTTGTCGATCTCCGATCCCGTTTTGTCCTTAGGATTTGACAAGAGAAGTTTGCTGCTCGTTGGTTGATGGCGAAGTGAGGTTATAAGCTGTGTATCCGTTCATTTGATTTAGCTAAGTGTTTGGTTTTGAATGAGTTCTGCATTTAGATGCCTTTGTCTAAACTTAGAGTTTGTGTTACTCGGCTAAAATTTTAGCTCGAAGAGAATGTTACTTGGTTTAGTAGGGTGTCTTTCATTTTTTTTTTCTCTCTCTTGCTTTTGTAGTTTTGGTTATGCTGCTCCACAAATTATTGGTCAGGAGGAATGTTTTAGACTTTGTATAATCCGATTCATTAAGTTCTTCTGATCGGTGGATTCATTTTGCTCCATTGGATTGTTTGTGTTGCTTGACCAACTTACTTTAGAGGAATTCGTTGCCCATGCATCGAGTTTCAACTATTAGTATTGGAAGGAAATTGTGTAGACTTCTTGTGACCGGAGGAGAAGATCACAGCTCACAGGGTCAATTTGTGGGCGATTGGGAAACCGAGCTCATTACTGGTCAGTTCAAATTCCGAAATTCTCTTCGGCTGCACATTCGTGCTTCCTCTGAATTTGTCATAATTTTTAAACTCATGGCTTCTAATAGGTGCTTCTGTTTCTACAGATTGTGGTAAATATAAACTAATAAGTCGAACCGGATTGAAATAGATACAATTTAGTTAACCAAAGGATAATTCTTTCATGGACTTAAACTGGTCACTTATTCTTCTTTTTTTTATCAGCTCCACTTATTTTTTCTTTTTAATTGCATGTTAATGTTAATCTTATAACTTTTCATTGTCTGCAAGGAGATCCGACGTTTAGGTACATCATTACCTGCTGTGACAGGATATCACTCTTCTTTTTTTTGTGTAAATATGCAGAGCCTGTCTGGTCACACAAATGCAATTGAATGTGTAGCTTTTGATTCAGTAGAGGTTTTGGTGGTTACTGGAGCTTCTATTTGGTGCAATAAAGCTGTGGGATTTGGAAGAAGCAAATAGTAAAGTCTATTCTTTTCACCCCATTGATTGTTTAAGTTGAAAAACACTTACTAAATAGTTGGAGGCACAACTTGCTAAGTAGTTTAAGTACCAAGATATATGGCACCTGAAAATTGGAACTCATGACACATGCACTGTAATAGAATGCGTCAGTTAATGACTCAAGGAAGCATATAATTGAAATAATCATTTGCTACCGGGGGGGTCACAACCTGATTAAACAAAAAATCAACTGTATGGGCTAAGTAGTAATTAAATAAGAACATAGGACCGATTTTCCATTGAAAGAGCTAGCTCAATGATCTATGGGGGTTAAAACCTGATTAAACAAAAAAAAATCAACTATATTTTATAAAATAATGAACTAAGTGGTAATTAAAGAAAAACATATGACCAATTTTCCATTGAAAGAGCTAGTTCAATGATGTTTGAGAAATTTTTCTATAAGGGTCAAAACCTGATTAAATAAATGGGGATGGTAGATGAGAGATTGAATATGAATGAGGCTTTGGAGGGCTAATATTGAGTGAGGGTGAAAGAGTGGAAAAATTTACATGGAGAGGGGTGATATAAGTGGGGATTAGGGTTCCCACGTGTTGCCCTAGCTCCAACCTTGATCTTTGAGGTTGCTTTACCCACTGTTTATATTAAAGCGATAGAGCGTTTTCCCCCTATATTCAAGAAAAAATTTTTGGAATGGATCTGATTTAGTTTGACCTAATTAGGAATATTGTCATAAGACTCCTGCTATAAATATACTTACAAAGTCCGTACATGCCATGGGCTCAGACTAGTTGATACCTATAAGACACAAGCTCTGTGTATATGTATCGGGATTTGGAAACGTCTTTCTCGTGATTCGTGAATAATGAGAGAGAGTTTTAAATGACAAATGTGAAGCTTAACTGAGGTGAATAGGAATGTGGGAAAAGTGTCTGGGTTGGGTAGTAGAACCGAGCTCCAAAGAAGCAGGCTCGCCATTCGCCACATGGCTCACATCAACCCAATAAAAAACAGGAAATGGAAAAGTGAAAAAGTACATTTCTAAGATGACCCAATTTGTAATAGGCTTAATATCAATACAGGGCCAGGGGTACGTGGAGACTTCGCAGGGAGTAGGGACACGTGAAAAGCATGCATGCTAAGGCACGTTCAACAATTGAACCCAACATTTTAGGTGGGCCACTGCATCTAAAGGTTGGTTAATACTGTAATAGATGCTCTCATTGCTCCAGAAGGTTCTGTGACAACACACTCTGTTCCGAATTGCGGAATTGGAGATTAAGAGGTGAGAAATTCATCGAACTCTCAACTTTTCATATTAGTTCTCTTCTTTTTTTAGATGCTTTTGCCTTTGAATTTGGTCTCTATTCGACAAGTGACGATTCCTGTTGTCATTTCCTTCTTTCTTCTCTTGTTTTCTTTTTTTGCTCAAATTCTCTCTTGCTATTGGTTTCATTCCTTTATGTTCAAGACCACTTCATATTTGGGGTTCCTCTGCACTTCTTTAAGGAGAGAACGATCTCACTTATTGTTTCCACAACTAGTTCTATAACTTCTTTCCAGTTCAGTTTTGCCGCAAGTATCAAAGACTTGACTGTACTTTTGAGAGTTTTTTTGTTCCTCTGTTAAGTGTGAAGGATCGCCAAATGAAATTCTGAATGGTAAACCTTCAGTAGTGTTAAAGAAGCTTTCTAATTTTCAAATCTAATTTCATGTATGGCTCATGGCTGGTGACAATGAGTCAATGACTCGATGAGAGTACTGATTTCTGTTAGACAAAAAAAACTGCATGCACAGAGAGAGATGGGTGTTACCCAGAGGATTGGTCATGCATCGTACAACAAGGGCTCTGGGCCTAGCGTACTGAAGGAGATAATGCATGGGATGGCACTGGGCCTGATTGCTGGAGGC